TCAGAGTGTGCGGGTTTACGGGTTCCGTGGACTCATAATGGTTCTTGGAACACGCTTTGTTAAACGAAGAATCATCAGGCGGAGATTTGAACGTCGATTAAATTTTACGATGATCTCGCGACGACGAATATTCACACTTTTACCATTTTTTTTCTCCCCAAGCGTTGAATGAAAATCTCATCGACACTTTCCTCTTAATTATTCATTTTCTAATTATCAGCTTTTTTACTTCAGCAGATGTAACGTGTATAAAGTGTACATATTTTTTTTCTCTTCTTCTCTTAATTACGATTCGTCCTGAAGCAAGAAAAATCCAAATTTCATTCCTTTCTTCGAAATGAATTTCGAAGAAATTTCGTTTCGTTTCGTTCGATCTTTTAAATAGAGGATCCAAACAAATTATTTCCATTGTAACTGGTAATATTAATTCAATTAATTTTGTACCAATTTTCAACATCTTACTATTTCCATTATTCATTCTCTTATCTAATAATATACGGTTGTCAGCAAAAAGAAAGGGCATGAAGTGAGGTATTCGATGCAAAATTAAGATCATCACGGAGGGTGAAGCAAATCAATCCAGAGAAATACGCTTGATTCACGACCGAAACCTGTTACTCGAATCCCCCTGCCCCCTCGTTCGTCCCTCTTCACGATTGCTCGACGAGCTGTCTGTGCCTGCGCTGCGAGTGAACACCGACAACGATGCTCGAAAAATCTCTCACGAGAAGGGTGAGACGACCATGCAAACAGCTCGAACAAAGGAAAGGAAGGGGAAGGGGGGAGGAGGAGGAGGAAGGAGAGGGTTATCGTCGAAATTGTGCCGGCATTACTTCAGCTCCAAAAAATTTCTCTCGAAATTACTCGCTCTCGGAGGATGGAAACAAACGTTCTGAGAGGGAGAGGAAGATGAAAGGGGGAAGAGAGAGAGAGAGAGAGAGAGAGGGGGGGGGGAAGAGGGAAGAGAGAGAGAAGAGGGAAGAGGGAAGAGGGAAGAGGGAAGAGAGAGGGAAGAGGGAAAAGGGGAGAGAAGAGGGAAGAGGGAAGAGGGAAGAGGGAAGAGGGAAGAGGGAAGAGGGAAGAGGGAAGAGAGGGAAGAGGGAAGAGAGAGGGAAGAGAGAGAGAAGAGGGAAGAGGAAAGATGGAAGAGAGAGAAAAGAGAGAAGAGGGGAGAGGGAAGAGGGGAGAGAGAGAGAAGAGGGAAGAGGGGAGAGAGAGAGAAGAGGGAAGAGGGGAGAGAGAGAGGAGGGAAGAGAGAGAGAAGAGGGAAGAGGGAAGATGGAAGAAAGAGAAAAGAGAGAAGAGGGGAGAGGGAAGAGGGGAGAGAGAGAGAAGAGGGGAGAGAGAGAGAAGAGGGAAGAGGGAAGAGGGGAGAGGGAGGGGGGAGGGGGGAGGGGGGGAGAGGAGAGGGAGGAGGGAAGAGAGAGAGAAGAGGGAAGAGAGAGAAGAGGGAAGAGGGAAGAGGGAAGAGGGGAGAGAAGAGGGAAGAGGGAAGAGGGGAGAGAAGAGGGAAGAGGGAAGAGAGAGAGAAGAGGAAAGAAGGGAGAGAGAAGAGGGAAGAGGGGAGAGAAGAGGGAAGAGGGAAGAGAAGAGGGAAGAGGGAAGAGAGAGAGAAGAGGGAAGAGGGAAGAGGGAAGAGAGAGAGAAGAGGGAAGAGGGAAGAGAGAAGAGGGAAGAGAGAGAGAGAGAGAGAAGAGGGAAGAGAGAGAGAGAGAGAGAAGAGGGAAGAGGGGAGAGAAGAGGGAAGAGGAGAGAGAGAAGAGGGAAGATGGAAGAGAGAGAGAAGAGGGAAGAGAGAGAGAGAGAGAAGAGGGAAGAGAGAGAGAGAGACAAGAGGGAAGAGAGAGAGAGAGACAAGAGGGAAGAGAGAGAGAAGAGGGAAGAGAGAGAAGAGGGAAGAGGGGAGAGAAGAGGGAAGAGGGAAGAGAGAGGGAAGAGGGAAGAGAGAGAGAAGAGGGAAGAGGGAAGAGGGAAGAGAGAGAGAAGAGGG